CTGCTTTTTCCAACGTTTTGTTAAGCTTCGGCGCGCCTACCACAAGTGTAGGAGGTGAGTGTCAACTGCGGGGATTTCTTCGTTGGTTTGGAAGGTAGTAGTAAGCCTTTCTGAATGTTGTTTACGTGTTGAGCCCATTCTGCACAGCCTCCAGAAAATAGTACGGGAGGGATAGTCTGATTGCGAAATTGGGTCCACTCGGTCAACTTGGCTTGACCGCATTTTTTATGAGCTCACTTTTCCAGGAGTGTGACCCGGAGAAGGCAGTGATCACTGCCTAGAGAATCGCCCAAGTTCTCCCAGGTAGCATCCTTAGCGTTTTCTACGAGAGAGAGGTCCGGACACGTGTCACAGGTTACCGAGTTCCCCACTCGAGTGGGGCACGCCGGATCCGTGAGCAGCGTGAGGCGAAGGGTGGAGATAAGCTCCGCCAGCTTACGTCCTCTGGCCTTCTCGTAGTGATAGCCCCAGTGAAGGCTGGGAGCATTGAAGTCTCCCACGATCACTAAGGGGTCCTTGTCTGCCAACTTGATCGCCCGGAGGAAGATTTCGCTAAAAGTTGCGGGGGGCTGTATATATTTAGGATGTGTATTGACTGGTCGCGACGTCTGAGAGGCAGTACTCTGACCATTGTGTATTCTTGTTCAGTACTTAAGTTTAAATCGACCTGAATCGCGGTATATGCCTTGTTCACCAGGATGCATGACGAGGGCCCCCCCTGGAAAGTGCTATAGCCAGAGAATTTAACGTCCAAACCGGGCTCCTGCAAAGCAAGCAAGGCGGGCATGTTTCCGAGGGACTGCAAGTAGAGCTGGAGGTGCGACCGTTTTTTCCAGGCTCTAAAACCCCTGCAGTTCCATTGTATAATCTCAAATTTTTGTAGATATTTAGCTTGTTTATTAGATCGGCTAGCCATCTTTTAGTATTTATTTACTGTGCTGAGGACGGGTCCGGACCTGGAGCCGGCCCCGAAAAGCCTTCTTCTGCTGCCTGACGGGAGGCCGGCTTGCGCTTAACCTGCGGGGAGTCGCTCCGAGTGGTGTTTTTAATTTGGGCGATAACCAGGGCTGCATGGCTTTAAGGACTGAGTTAGAGACCTGCGCCACAATTTCGGGAAGTGCTTGCGTTAAGGCTGCCGTGAACATGTCCTGAAAGGACTCGCAGACTGCCGACATGATTTGAGTGGGGAGGGCTTGCCACGCTCGCCTCTAATTGCTCGTTTTATGCTCTAGGACTCGATGCGACCGATGGATCCGGTAATGGAAGCTGGTCCAACTACCGTGTCCCACGTCCTGCCGCGAGACGCTAGTGAGGCGGGATGTGACGGAAGAGCCGTCATCCCCGTCCTCTGCCTCGGCTTCCTGCACTGGCTCGGATGACCCAACCTGCTTCGCTTCTAATTCCTGAATTTTGTGCGCAAGAATTTGGTTCTGGCGCCTGAGCTCCCTATCTGCTGCTGTAGGGGCGGTTTTTCGGTAAGGGAGGGAGAAGAGGAAGGTCCAGAGACTGCCCCACCCCAACAGCTCACCTGTGCTTGGATGGGTGTCAAGGGTGGGAAGTCCTTGACCAAGGCAGGAGGCTCCGACGGGGTCCCAGGCTTTACATTGGTGGAGTGCCCGGTGTCGGTCTTCTTGAGTTCTGGCTTATTCGACTTGGCGGCTGGTGCTTTCTTGGGGCCAGTCTTGGGAGTCGGAGCCTGTTTGTTCCCCCCGTTCCCCCCCGTTGTCCTCGGCTTGGATCCGCGTGGGATCCCGACTTGACCGGCTGCCGGAACCGTCCAGCACAACCGGGAGCTCCAGTCTTGTGGCCGCCGCCGCAGAGGAGGCAGTTCGGAATGCACTGGTGTTCCGTTGGGCCGTCAGGAGTACCAGCAGGTACCTGAACGCCGCAGCTAGTGCAGCGGCCGGGCTGCGGGCGCGGGCAAGTATCTGCTCGATGGCCCACTGTGCCACAAAGTGGGCATGCAGGCACTGTCTTCTTATACAAGCGAACAGGGAGCCGCTCGCAGTTGTATAACACCGTCCGTGGCACCTTGGTCCCCGCGAAGGTGATCACCGCAACCGGGGTGTCCCCAAGCTTGCGCACAGACACTATATTTGGCTCAGCACTGAGCTTGCTTTTCACAGTTTCGGACGTTTCGTCTTGAGAGACATGCACGATGCCCCGACAGAACTCACCGGAGAGTTTGGGATGTCCCCGGAATGTTAGCTGGCGGCCACCGACTGGCAGCTTAATGTCCCGGAGGAGTCTCTCGGCGGCGTCCACTGATTTGAGCGTGCACACAAGTACATTTTGATCCCAGAGGGGCCACACCGCAAGTCCCACACTTGCGTCGGCTCCGAGGATGCTGCGGACTGCAGCGCCGGCTTGTCCAGGACCAAACGTGGCCTTGAGGTCGAGTGTCTCATGCGGTTTCAGCACCACTATGATGTCGTCTTCTTCGATGCGCGGCGTGTTCTTCGGCCGCCACTGGAGTTGCTTGGCGCGCTGCGAGGCGACGCTCGGCGCGTTCTTGCCCTGTGCTTGCTGAGGGCGAGACGCTGCTTGTTGTTTGGCTGCAGGAGCCCTGGTGTCTCTCGACGCCACTGCTGTGTTCTTTCTTCCGCGCCAGACGTGGACCATATCCTTGACGTACTCTTCCTCGGTTGGTAGAGGTGTCTCGGTTTGAGCGGTATCCATCTGTATTATCTGTAGGGACTCCGGATCGTAGCCGGTGACTTGATTTGGAGACGCCATTACCGGGGAAACCCCGGGCAGGGCCAGCGCGGCCCTTACTGCGGTTAGGCTTAACTTTGCGGTGGTTTGGCGAAAGCTTCAAGTGACCAAAAAAGGGTCAGAAGACGGCCCACCTTGACAAGACGTGATGTCTTCGGTTGCGGCTGACTTTCTTGGAGACGGTGGTAGAAGGCTTGCAGGAGAACGACTTGATGTGACGCAAATAATTGCGATATTTCACAGAGCCGACGTGGTATGCGACCGCTCCCGTCGATCGACGCCAGCGCCCCCCCCCCCCCCACGCTAGAGGATGGGATGCGTAAGCTCCGAAAAGCCTCTGGAAGTGTGCATGTGACCATATGCACAGTCCCAGAGGTCTGGGGGCAGCCTCGTGGGATTGAAAGGAGGGTAGTGGAGGCCAATTTTGTGATCAAGGGTTTGAGCCGGCAACTCGGATACAGCGTAATGTAAGTTAACCAAGACGTGTACGAGCTCGGCACTCGCCCCTTTGCACAGGATGGCAATCACTACAGTGGTGCGACGGGCAGGAGGGTTGGTAAAATGGGTCGCCAAGCCATAGCTTTTTTAGGGGGACCCAGAGCCCTGAGGCTGACAGTGTAGCCAAAGACGGACCTAAAGGGGCACAATTATTCAAGCCACACGAAGTCCGTGAGGGAAGAAATCGACGTAAGCACAAGGGCCGAGCTAAGTCATACGTAGGCTATATTAACATGCAGGGTCGCAGGAATAGGTTAAAGTGGAAAGAGATAGAAGAGCAGTTGAGGCAGGAGGAGCTGATGGTATATGGGGTTGTGGAGACACATCTTCGGGACCTGAAGCAACCACCCTGCAATCTGGACTACGTATGGGAATATTGCAATAGAACAGAAGGCAGCAAAAAGGGCGGTGGAATTGGTGCATTTATACATCGGAGAGCATGGGTTGGCAAAGAGTCAAGCAGGGATGCATGGAACATTTATGGTTAAGACGGAAAGTAGCATGGCAGATAACACTCCTTGGTTTGGTGTACTTGTGGACAGGAGCAAAGGCCAGCGAGGAAAACCAGGCAATGGTGGAGTGTATATCAATGGACATTGAGGAATTAGGAGGAGAGTGCAAGATAATTATACTAGGAGATATGAATGCACACATAGAAGATATAGATGGGTATACTGACTCAACAGGCAAAATGATCATGGATATGTGTGAAAGGCATGATTTGATCATTTGCAACAGTACTGAGAAGTGTGAAGGGCAAATAACATAAGAGGTACGAAGGCTGTAGTCAACGATAGATTACACACTGATGTCACATAGGATGTATGATAAGCTCAGGGGAATGCGCATAGACGAAGGTGGTTCCAGAAGTCTGGGTAGTGATCACAAACGTATCAAGCTAGGTTTTGGAAGAGCAGCGAAAGTGGCAAGGAGACAAGATGAGCAACTACAGGAAAATTTTCATTCAGAAAGGCAAATAGAAATCGCTACTAAACAAATTGAGAAAGTAATCTCTGAGGATAATAAGAATGTGTGGACATACACAGATCCTATTAGACTGTTTGGGCTAGAGCTTGCTAAGGCACGTGACAAGTCACCTCGGAAAAGAAGACACAAGCCCAAGAGTTGGTGGGATGAGGAAGTTAAGAGAGCCATAGCAAAACGTCGGGAAGTCTCTAGGCAACACAGACATGCTAAGCAACGGGGTGAACCGACAGAGAAGAGCAGCGAAAGTGGCAAGGAGACAAGATGAGCAACTACAGGAAAATTTTCATTCATAAAAGCAAATAGAAATCGCTACTAAACAAATTGAGAAAGTAATCTCTGAGGATAATAAGAATGTGTGGACATACACAGATCCTATTAGACTGTTTGGGCTAGAGCTTACCAAAGCACGTGACAAGTCACCTCGGAAAAGAAGACACAAGCCCAAGAGTTGGTGGGATGAGGAAGTTAAGAGAGCCATAGCAAAACGTCGGGAAGTCTCTAGGCAACACAGACATGCTAAGCAACGGGGTGAACCGACAGAGAAGAGCAGCGAAAGTGGCAAGGAGACAAGATGAGCAACTACAGGAAAATTTTCATTCAGAAAAGCAAATAGAAATCGCTACTAAACAAATTTAGAAAGTAATCTCTGAGGATAATA